CTTCCATTAGACCAAAGCGTGACACTCAGAGGAAGACAACGGCAGTGTACGGAGATAATACCACGAATACCCAAGTGAGTTATGGGGCAGTGCCATGAAAAGAAGTCCCATCAAAATCCCAAACCCAATCAGGTTACGGAGGAATCCGATCTCTCTGTTCAGTCGTTCTCTGATTATGGTGATTCGCTGGTTTGGAACTTGACATGTTTTCTTCATTGCTAACCTTTCACACTCACTGCTGTTGATCTCCGAGAGTTAAAGATGTTGTTCTTAATCACTGGTTTGAGATTAGTACAGTTGATTGGGGTGAGACCTTTTAAGATACATTTTAATTCCAACAGATTGCAGACTGGAGACCAGAAAACAATCACCGAGCCAAATGTGACGATTTATGTTGAAAGAGTCAAGTCAGCTTTATTTATATAACACATATAGAATATACATGCTTTCAAAGTAGCTTTACAGATAATCATGTTAATCTTTAGAATATTTTCATGCCTTATAGTTGCATTTAATAGATTAGAACTGGGCGATAATATAACTTACATTTTGCGATGCTATAAACAATCAAGCAATTGAGATTTGCTATATAGTATTTCTTTATGTGAGTGTACTGCTAAAACACACACACACACACACACACACACACACACACACTACAGGCTATTGTGCTTATCTTTTAATCAGTGAAGCCTTGTCTCACTGAAAAAAAGAAAAACGTATTAAACCGGCCTTAGGTAGTTGGTATTAACTGGCCATCCAACTGGTTTTCTCTATCTAATGGTATTAGAAGTGACCAGTTGACAAGTGCCCAAAAAATATCTGAATATTAGCATGACTAGGCTGACCATTAAGCTGAGACCAGAAAACAGTGTTTCTTCAGCAGTGTGGACTAGTCAACATGTGTGATTTTGTTCAACATGAATAGCTAACCTGTGAACAAATCTGTAAGCTTTCAAACACGCACAACTGGGAAGAACCACAGTGTATTTTGCTTTTGTTTTTGGGGAAACTCATGTATGCTATCTCAGTCCAGCTCATGATTAGCCTAGCACAGGTGTCCATTTCATACTTGTGGTTTCCTATATGAGTGTATGGTTCATATTTATTCCTACAGTGAACTCTTTGGTCACATAGCACATCAAAAAAAGAAGACGTTTTTTTTTAAAGCTTTCTAGCAATTCGCAATATCAAATTAGACATGGCAGCCTTGTTATTTATGCCTGGAATTAACTGCTAAAATTGCTAAATTCATCCATTTATTCATCCAAACACTCTCATGTGCCAGTTTTCAGAGATTTTTTTTTTGTAACAAAATTTAAACATTCAGCATTCAGCAATTGTAAGTGCATGTTAGACTTCCGCTGTGCAACGGTGACATCTGGTGGCTGTGTAAGTAACAACAAGCTTTCCTCACTTGCTAAAACCAGAAATATTGTCCCAGGCTCCACGACAAGTGGGACCCTCAATGGTCCTCCATAGTATGACCTTGGCATTTGACCTCTGTTTTGTTTAGGCTTGGTTTTATCAACTTCTTATTCCCCACATGTGTCTCCACAGGTTATTTGTGTTTTCTGCATACAGCACATCTGTCACCGCTGGGGAGTCAGTCACTGATCTGCGATCGAGATCTGAAGAGAGCAATTACAGCTGATGACTAACAGGCAGACAGCTGCAGAGTGGGTAATGAGATTGAGAGTGTGTGTCTGATCACGTAACTCAGAGTACGTGCGTAAAGACGAGCACACTACAAAACTGAAGCTCATCATCATTTTCAGGTACAATCAGGAAGGAGAGTAATCTAAAAATGAATGGATATATTATGCTTTTGGCCTAAAACACTGTCAGTAGATGCTTTAGACCAGGGGTTTTCAATCTTTTAGATGCCATGGACCCCCATCCCTTTAAAAGGCAGTTATACATTTTTATGTATAAATACCCAATCTATACTGTGAAAAATAAATATTGTAAATATGTGTCAAATATTAATTGGGAAAATATTTAGTTATGAGCTACGAACTATAGTACTGTACTGTGTATTATTTATTTTAATCATATTTTTATTATTTTTATACACTCACCTAAAGGATTATTAGGAACACCTGTTCAATTTCTCATTAATGCAATTATCTAATCAACCAATCACATGGCAGTTGCTTCAATACATTTAGGGGTGTGGTCCTGGTCAAGACAATCTCCTGAACTCCAAACTGAATGTCAGAATGGGAAAGAAAGGTGATTTAAGCAATTATGAGCGTGGCATGGTTGTTGGTGCCAGACGGGCCGGTATTTCACAATCTGCTCAGTTACTGGGATTTTCACACACAACCATTTCTAGGGTTTACAAAGAATGGTGTGAAAAGGGAAAAACATCCAGTATGCGGCAGTCCTGTGGGTTAAAATGCCTTGTTGATGCTAGAGGTCAGAAGAGAATGGGCCGACTGATTCAAGCTGATAGAAGAGCAACTTTGACTGAAATAACCACTCGTTACAACCGAGGTATGCAGCAAAGCATTTGTGAAGCCACAACACGCACAACCTTGAGGCGGATGGGCTACAACAGCAGAAGACCCCACCGGGTACCACTCATCTCCACTACAAATAGGAAAAAGAGGCTACAATTGGCAAGAGCTCACCAAAATTGGACAGTTGAAGACTGGAAAAATGTTGCCTGGTCTGATGAGTCTCGATTTCTGTTGAGACATTCAGATGGTAGAGTCAGAATTTGGCGTAAACAGAATGAGAACATGGATCCATCATGCCTTGTTACCACTGTGCAGGCTGGTGGTGGTGTAATGGTGTGGGGGATGTTTTCTTGGCACACTTTAGGCCCCTTAGTGCCAATTGGGCGTCGTTTAAATGCCACGGCCTACCTGAGCATTGTTTCTGACCATGTCCATCCCTTTATGGCCACCATGTACCCATCCTCTGATGGCTACTTCCAGCAGGATAATGCACCATGTCACAAACCTCGAATCATTTCAAATTGGTTTCTTGAACATGACAATGAGTTCACTGTACTAAAATGGCCCCCACAGTCACCAGATCTCAACCCAATAGAGCATCTTTGGGATGTGGTGGAACGGGAGCTTCGTGCCCTGGATGTGCATCTCACAAATCTTCATCAACTGCAAGATGCTATCCTATCAATATGGGCCAACATTTCTACAGAATGCTTTCAGCACCTTGTTGAATCAATGCCACGTCTAAAAGCCACCATAAAGTCAAAATTGAAAATTAATTTTTTACAGAATATTGGCGTTTTTATTATGAATGATTTATCCTTGTACATCATTGTTTTTTAAATTCACGTACCCTCATATTCTTTAATCAAAATAACTTCTCTTCTCTGATGACGTGTTTATTGGCCTTTTTCTTTTTGAACAAACTTTGTTCTATAACACGTGGTGTGTATTACTTTTCTAAGCACAGAGTCTCCCAAGGTTTTCCACTGAGATAAATAATTCCATCTATAAAGCTAAAAAACAAACAGCTTTTGTTGTCAAGGTTCTTTTGAGCGGCAGTCAGATGATAAATGACATCCCTGTCATTGTGTGATGTTCTGCAAGGACTCGGTTTCATAGAATTTCTTGAGGTTTGGAACAGTGCGAGTGGTTTTTCCTTGAATTTCTGTTTTAAACTCTCATCTGTTTAGTTTCTGATGCCATTTTAACGTCCACTAAAAACCTTTTAGTCTTGTTCTTTTGTAAACCATCATGTGCTGGTGTTTTGAAGAACTTTTAGAAATCAAAATACTGACCTGAAGAACCTATGAAACATCAAGAACTTTCAGTCGCCAAAGAATCATATCCTATAATATACCGTTACAAAGTTTTGGGTCAGTAAGGTTTACATAGTTTTACCAGATTTACATAGTTAGGGTTAGGGTTAGCATTTCCATTACCCTTCAAATTGTGCAAATTGAAATTGTAAACTGAAAATACACCCAATGGAAACAGTCATTTTCGCAAAAACTCCCATATATCGCAAAAAAGTTTTTACGCTCGCACGAGGTGGTTTTCCAGGCAATTCGAAAAGGGAATATTTCCAAAACTTTATCAAAAATGTATCAAGACCTTGAAGCAGATATGAGGAAGAAACACCCAGAAACACCTCATACATGCTAAAAATAATAAGGGGTATGCCAATTATACTTTTATACTCTTAAAAATAAGAGTGTAAATAAACATCAATGGGACATTTAAAAAGTACTTTGGAAAGCCCAAATAAACCTTCCAATGCATCGCTGTGAAAACTCTGTTTTTAGTTTGTCTTGGCACCCTTATTTTTAAGAATGTAGATGCAAAAAGACAATTTTTTTCCAGATGCAGACGCCAATTCAATTTCTTAAAATCTCATTTTTTTTTATTTCAAATACAGAATTCACATCAGTCACAAAAATTGGTACAATCACAGGTCAATAACCTGAAATAGAATAAATATAAGAACTCTTTGATTAGTAAATGCTATTAATAGATGTGTTCATTGTAATAGTGATGTGACTTTCAAAGTGTATAAGAAAACTACAGTCTATATATTAATGTCATTATTTCCATTTAGTAGTCATGTCAACAGCTCTTGTTAAGTCATGTTAAGTGCTAAACATTTTGACTAAGTTGTTATGTTTTCGTGCTTACATATGTAAAATACTTGTGTAACGGAAGCAAGCCATAAGCAGTATTTAGTGTCCTTTAGCGTGCCCGCCTCCCATGCCGGAGACGCCGGTTCAAATCCCGCGCAGAGCGGGTCAAGTAGGACTGGTTACATTTGGTGCCGTGACCCGGATGTTAGTGAGGTTTAGGGGATTAGTGTAACGGAGCCAAGCTAGTAAGAGCTGTGTGTGTAAACCTCACTACACCCCTGGCCTCCCATGCCGGAGACGGCTATTCGAATCCCGCTCGGCGCAGGTCGAGTCGAACCGGTTACACTTACACCACCCTTTTCGGATCCTTTTATCTAATTAATGTGTCTAAGAAAAGTCTTAAGGAATAGATTAAAAAAAGTCTTGTTATTGCAGAGACATACAGTTGATCGTGTCTGGTAATGCCCTGCCATGGTGAATACAAAATACCAGGATGTGAGGAGCGTGAGGTCAGGGGGTCGCCGGTTACCATGGCAACAGTGTCTACATTCAGAGTCACAATAATGCTCAGTGTTCCAAACAGAACCCTTCTGTACGCCAGCCAGTATGATGTCACGGTGATGTCATTCCGAAGTGGTTCTGGTTTCAGTTCCAAAAACGTCTCGATCCTCGAATATCTTAATATCCGTTGTAAATCAGCGACTGCAGAGCTTGAATTCTAAAGAGGCCGTAGCTTTGTAGTTTCATGTGATCTGCAGTCAGTCTGCCAAAGAAGGAAAAAGCTGTTAGTATACATCACAGCGGGAGCGATCTGACAATTAATTTTGGTTTGAGCTTCAACAGATACCACTAATTGGAAAACTCATGCACTAAAGTGTGCATGCTGTCTTCTCTGGGCAGCTTTAAACAAGTTATTAAGGAGAAGGTGACGGGTCATAAATGCACACACACACACACACTCTTTTTGCAGTCGGGACTCTTATTACATTTACATTGAATCATTTAGTGGACACTTTTATCCAAAGCGAGAGCAATAGAAACAGTCACATCAACAATAGGGCAGCAATGTGTAAATGTCGTGACCAGTCTCAGCTAGACCAGCGCCGCACACGTAGCAAGGACTTTTTATATATAATAGATATAGAATAGTAAGTGTTAGTATTATTAAGCTCTGTTCTGAGAACCAGCACGACCGCCAACTGCTGTTCACAAAAGCAGTTATTCTGAAGAATGCTGGTATTCAGACAGTTGACTGCAGCCATTGACTTCTATAGTATTGTTTTCCTCCTATAGAAGTCAATGGCTATGAAATCAATCTCTGATTACCAACATTCCTCAGAGTATCTTCCTTTGTGTTCAGCAGAAAAAAGAAACTCATACAGGTTTGGAACAACATGAGGGTTAGTAAATGATGACACAATTTAGATTTTTGGTTGAACTCTCCCTTTAAAGGCACAATATGTAGGTTTTTTTCGCCACAAGAGGGCGCAGTTTCCAACAATAACAAAGGCGTAGGTTTATGACGCAGTGATGAGCTGAATGATGGGACTTGCTTTGTTTTATGTACATTGGCTCACCTGTCTAATAAAGCTGTCAAGTCGTGACTCGTGAAGCTCTGTCGAGCAGAGATGGGGACTCGAGTTTGAGACTCGGACTCGAGTGCGACTTAAGTCCCACACACAGTGAGGTTAACTCCGACTGTCTTCCTACGTTAATCGACCACCAAACTTGTGGTGGTCGATTAACGTAACGTTAATCATTTATGTGCCGCTGGCTGCCCGTTGTCTACAAACAGGTTTATTGTTGATCATGTAACGTTACTGTTTCATTTAGTTATAACGTTACACTGGTTTGAGAGTCTGGGATGTGTTGACTTACAGTATATAAGCTATGATTAGTTGCATAGGCAGTGCAGCCAGAAGAAGCCAGAAATGTTTTGTGGCCCATACCTAGTGTGTTGAGAGAAGAGAAGGTTAACCAGTCTGATCTCACCCTTTGGATTTTTTTATTTCTAAACATTTTGTTCTTAACAAGTTACATGCCATAAGTTGGTCAGTTGCTTCACATTTACACTAAAGATTTTGAGCATTTTAATGTTTTGGAAGTGCACTGTAGTGTTAAAAATTTCATTTGAATGCAATAGTTAATTTGCATTTAGCTACACTGATGTTTTGCACTAAATAGGACTGTCAATTTTAGTGTTGCGAGTTATATCATTTTCTATATTTGGTCTTATGTCTTGGTATGTTCAAGCTACAAGGCAAAATAAAGAAATTAACTAAAAGTAAAGCATTCTTGGTGTTTTTGTCATGTTGCAATAGCCTGTTTACACTGATTATATACCAAAATCAAAGCTGATACTGTATGCTAATAGATAAAGGAGTCATAATAACATATGGTACCACTTTATTTTGATAGTCCACTTTATACATTCTACTAACTATCAGTAACTTTGCAGCTGCATGTCAACTAACTCTCATTAGAGTATTAGTAGGCTGTCTGCTTAATATCTGCTAATTATATATTATAATAACTTATTTTGTTGGTTCCCCAACAGATATTCTACTGACTATAAGTAACTTGGCAACTACAAGTCAACTTGTTCTCCGAACCCACATCATAACCTGACAGTCTACTACAGTCTACTAATACTCTAATGAGAGTTAGTTGACATGTAGTTGAAAATGTACATGGTTAGTAGAATGTCTAAAGTGGACTATCGAAATAAAGTGTAACCTAACATATTATATGCTTTGAATTCCTTATATAAAGCTATGCAGTGTTCTAAGCAACCTGGATGGGTCGCTGTACGTGATGCAACACTTATAACCACAAGAGACTTGAGACTTGACTTGGACTCTAGCTCAGAGACTTGAGACTTGACTTGGACTCTAGCTCAGAGACTTGAGACTTGACTTGGACTCTAGCTCAGAGACTTGAGACTTGACTTGGACTCTAGCTCAGAGACTTGAGACTTGACTTGGACTCTAGCTCAGAGACTTGAGACTTGACTTGGACTCTAGCTCGGAGACTTGAGACTTGACTTGGACTCTAGCTCGGAGACTTGAGACTTGACTTGGACTCTAGCTCAGAGACTTGAGACTTGACTTGGACTCTAGCTCAGAGACTTGAGACTTGACTTGGACTCTAGCTCGGAGACTTGAGACTTGACTTGGACTCTAGCTCGGAGACTTGAGACTTGACTTGGACTCTAGCTCAGAGACTTGAGACTTGACTTGGACTCTAGCTCAGAGACTTGAGACTTGACTTGGACTCTAGCTCGGAGACTTGAGACTTGACTTGGACTCTAGCTCAGAGACTTGAGACTTGACTTGGACTCTAGCTCAGAGACTTGAGACTTGACTTGGACTCTAGCTCGGAGACTTGAGACTTGACTTGGACTCTAGCTCGGAGACTTGAGACTTGACTTGGACTCTAGCTCAGAGACTTGAGACTTGACTTGGACTCTAGCTCGGAGACTTGAGACTTGACTTGGACTCTAGCTCGGAGACTTGAGACTTGACTTGGACTCTAGCTCGGAGACTTGAGACTTGACTTGGACTCTAGCTCGGAGACTTGACTTGGACTCTAGCTCAGAGACTTGAGACTTGACTTGGACTCTAGCTCGGAGACTTGTGAGCATCTCTGCTGTCGAGTCCAAGTTAGCGGACGTGGAGCTCTCCGCATCTCAAAAACGCCACGCTGATATTGATCCTCATTTTAGTTCTCCTTGTTTGTCCCAAAGTCTGCTTGCCATGGTCTATGTTTGAAAGAAACAAGAACTGCGTGCCGCTAAACGTTACGCACTGCGCAGTTGTCTACGTCTGTCGCCATGGTTACGTCATGGCTATGGCAGTTCGAGCGGAAACCGAGGATTGTGCGGATATTGCGTCATCGACAGGCGACATTTTTTTCCGGGACGGCCACTTATTTAAAATTGGAATTTCTCTGAAATAAAAAATCTTTGGAGACTTTTGGGATATTGTAAGTACACAACTACAGGAAATATATCACACTGCAAGTGATTTTTGGATATTTTATTACAAAATTCGTACATATTGTACCTTTAATAACACTAAATAACTTTTTTTTTTTTACAGACTCATCGAGGGGCTGTTCTCCAGATAAAGAATAAACTTGTTTTTAAGCAGAAATGTAATGTGAAGTCTCTCTGGTAATGTGCTGTGTAATCTAAATGTAATACCGCAGTCTGTTCCTCTCGCACGCTGCCGCCTTTTACACAGGGTTATTATGGGTAATAACCAGCCATTATAGCCCTTCATCACGACTGTGTTGTCGTGAGGTCTTTCATCATGCTTTTCCCCTATGTATTATAGCCTAAAAGGTAACATTAGTTATTATATTCTGTTGTCTATTGATGTATATGGCTGCATAATGCCAGATGCATTATAGAGAAACAAATGTTTTTTTTTTCAGTGAAATAACTAAATAAATTGCTCTCTATTCCTCAAATAAAGGCTTCAGAAGTCTATTATTTTATATGGTAGGCAACTTTACAGAGATGGTTCACGATGGCCATGTACTCAGCTTGTCCCACAATTAACTATTTGATTTTTTAGGTTGACTCAGTGACTTAAAATTATTGAAATTGTTAAAATAATACAATAAAGGATTATTATTATGATATGATATATTATATATGAAATTATATATATATGTTTATATATATATATACATACATACATAGTTATATTAAAGTAATAATAAAAAAATAACATGTAAAATAAGATTGTATAAACTGAAATCATCTATCTGTGTGTGTGTATATATATATATATATATATATATATATATATATATATATATATGCATGTGTATATAATAAATAATATATATATATATACAGTGGTGGCCAAAATTATTAGAACTGTAAGATTTTTTAATGTTTTAAAAGAAGTCTCGTCTGCTCACCAAGGCTTCATTTATTTGATCCAAAATACAGCAAAAACAGTAATATTGAAATATTTTTATAATTTAAAATAACTGTTTTCTATTTGAATATATTTTAAAATGCAATTTATTTCTTTGTTGTCAAAGCTGGATTTCCAGCATCATTACTCCAGTCTTCAGTGTCACATGATCCTTCAGAAATTATTCTAATATGATTTGATGCTCAAGAAACATTTATTATTATTATCAATGTTGAAAACAGTAGTGTACAATTTTTTTTCAGGATCCTTTGATGAATAGAAAGTTCAAAAGAACAGCATTTATCTGAAATAGAAAGCTTTTGTAACATTATCACTACCGTTCAAAAGTTTGGGGTCAGTAAGATTTTATTTGTTTTGTTTTTTTAAAGAAATTTCAATTTCAATAATTTTATTCAGCAAGGATGCATTAAATTGATCAAAAGTCACAGTATAGACATTTATTATGTTGCAAAAGCTTTCTATTTCAGATAAATGCTGTTCTTTTGAACTTTCTATTCAACAAAGAATCCTAAAAAAAGATATTGTACACAACTGTTTTCAACATTGATAATAATCAGAAATGTTTATTGAGCATCAAATCATCATATTAGGATCATGTGACACTGAAGACTGGAGTAATGATGCGGACATTTCAGCTTTGATCACAGGAATAAATTACATTTCAAAATATATTTAAATAGAAAACAGTTATTTTAAATTGTACAAATATTTCACAATATTACAGTTTTTACTGTATTTTGGATCAAATAAATTAAGCCTTGGTGAGCAGAAGAGACTTCTTTTAAAACATAAAAAAATCTTACCGTTCTAATAATTTTGGCCACCACTGTCTATTAGTTGTTATTGAAAAGTACACATTCAACATTACAGCAACTTATTACAGCAGAAGCAAATGTTTGGTCCGGTCCCGTAAAATAGACAAAATACCAAAACAAACAGAATATACTGTCATTACCGTTCTTTAAAGGTCTCTTTGTCTTTCTTTGAAGTTCGTCCTCACCTTTACGTGTGGCTTTTGATTGGCTGGCAGCCACTGCGGTCAGATCTGCAGGAAGGCCCACATACACTCCTCCATAGTTCCTGCACAACACACAGTTAGATCTCACACGCTACACATCCATTATTATGGTCCCGATTCAGTCTCATATTGATGTTTTCATGGTTTTGTATATATTATCATGTTTTCAAAAGACCGTCTAACCTTCGTTTCTCATCATCTGGTAAAGGTTCTTCTGTCCTGCATCAAGAGAATAAAGATGAAGCCATCTCTGTGATTGACACATCTGTGAGATGCTATCTCTCATGTATTTTATGTTATTGTTTCCTCTCTGCTCAAAAAGATGCCTCACAAAAGACTCATCAAAACATACCGTATTCAGAAGCAGTTTTCATCTCAAGACCCTGCTGATGTACTCTAGTCAGAGCAAGGTAAAGCTATTGTTCAATACATTTCAGCGCACTTTCAATTTTCCCAATAAAATGTTTTTGTCCACTGAAAATGCATTTTCTTTCCTTAAAAAGTCACCATGAAATGGAAGTCTTTTCAGTCTCCATATTCATTGTGATGCATATCCGAGTGAAACGACTTCTCCAACAAGAAAAAAATGTAGAGCGGGACTTGATTTTGTTCATGAGGAATTGATTGGATGGTGTGGTTTGCTATTGGTCGATCGCATGTGAGTGACAGGTTGCCCCGCCCTCATGACAGTAAACGCATCATCAGAGAAGACGGCTGCGTCCGAAATCACATACTATCTTGAGTAGGTACTTGTTTTGAATAAGTAATTACTCAATGACTGCTAAAAAAGCATGTTCTATATAGTATGAATGTAATCTGGACGTACTACATTTGCCTTTATGTCATTATCATGTGACCAACCAGCGTCAGTTGCGTCGCTTCACTTCCATTCATAAATCCTCTCCCGTGGCCTCATGGGATAGTAAAGTGTCCATCACATGCACACTTCAGAATCTCTCCGGAAGTAGTAGATCATCCGGGTACTTTTTGCAGACTACTGTGAATTCAGACATACTTCTTTTGTGACATACTGTTTTTTGCCTACTATATTAGTAAGGAAATATGCAATATCAGAGGATTTTGGATGCAGCCAAGATGTCGCTGCAAGAGGGAGAGGCAGTTATTTAGATTAAATACTGCAATATTTAATAAAAAAAATTAATTTCATGGTGACTTTAAGATTACTTCATTTTCACTCATCAAACTAAATATGCCATTTCTCTAATTTCACCATGGAGATTTTGAGTAGGATTTTAACTTATGAAATCCAATCTAAATGGTTTCACTCACAGTGAGCGACAGCATGTTAATTCCGGCTTGCATCGAGAGTGGAAAATCATTAAATATTTCATACGGTGAGAAATTATTCAGCTCCTCTGTATCCTTTTATAGATGTTAAATGCTAAAAGCACTTCAAAAAAGAATACGCAGGCTGATGTCATAGCAGAAATCGGCTGTCTAAACACGCTCGGGCGTTTTTCCACTGATGGCACGGTTGCCGTCTGCTGTTTTTGTCAGTAAACTGGGGGGTGGGGGGTAATGATGGTTGATTGGCTAGCATGCGTTCGGACCCTCAGGGGCCCATGTGCACCACAAAAGCCACTGAACAGGCTGAGTGATTCTCCCCCAGGATTCAGTGAAATATGTCTGTGTGTATTTTTTGTGTTGAGCTGTTCTGTAATTAATTCAGCTCAGCGCTCCGCATTTGCGCTGTTATTAATTTCGGTCGGATGTTAGTGGTCGTGACATTCATTCTGTGGCTCAGATTCGTGAATATGGTATGTTTGGATATGTCGTGAATTAAATTACTCACACATCCTTGGCAGCTTCTGGACCTGTAAGACAAAGAAGAAAGTATAATTGACATTTTAAATCATTTAAATAATTTAAGTTTTAGGTCAACATTAAGGAGTCATATATAAATAAATAAATAAATAAATATATAATAAATAAATATATATATATATATATATATATATACTTTTAACTAATAATTGTATCCTTTTTTTTCCGTCTGTTTTTTTTCCAACTAAAAACTGAAAACTTTCATTTACAGTGTTAGCCTTTCATTTACACAACAACAGCAGCCTTTTTTTTTTTAAAGCAGGTTTCAAGGTGCAACTTAAAAAAAAACCTCTATCGTTTCAGTGTAAACTACAGAAACACGAATTTGTGAAACGGTGACGTCATGCGCATGTGTTTGTTTCTTTACAAAGTGACATCGCCATCTACTGGCCTGGGAGCAGAATACAGCGTTTTAAGTCATTTCCGCAGTTCTTTTAGCCTGGTTGGTTAAAACCAGACCATTCTCAGTTGTAACTGAGTTATGGTCTGGCAAAGCGTCATAGACAAATCATTTCCAGAGGGGCGTCACCAACAGACGTCGCGGATAGTCCTAAACCCAATCAGAGCGATGAAGGAGATGACGTATGCAGAGCGGCGGAGAAACATCTCCGAGTGTTGTTCTTTGCTCGGTTTTTAACAAAAAGGAAACGTTCAAATCGCTTAAAACAGACGCGATAGCTGATTCGAACGAGTGATGTTCGACGGCGGCATCCATCTTTGTAATGTAGGCTACAAAATCTGCTTCAAAATCCCAGCGCTGTCGTCATCGTGTAAAGCCCGCCCCAACGTTTCTGATTGGTGCCTCGGTTTCGACGGATTGGAAATGGGCTTGAATGAGCTCTTTGCCAGACTAACTTTCAGAGCAAATCTAAATTTGCCGGTAGTTGTCTGGGTTTTCCCAGGCTACAGTTCTTTGTGTACAGGATCATTTTGACAACGTCCATCCATCCATGCATACATATATCTTTTTATTTAAATAAAACAAAAGGTGTGTGTGTGTGTAGCAGCGAATCGTAATCTTTTACTTAGAATTTTTTTTTTTAGTGCAAGAAACCTTGAGTACTTTATAAGTGAACGGGGAAAAAATTGTTGTATAATACCCTCTATAGAAAACAAAATCCCACTGTTTATGGACACACAAACCACACAGAAGAAGAACGACATTGACTCGTTTTTTTAATCAGATTCCGTTCTTTCTATGCCTGTATTGATTTTACTGGTCACAAGAGTGATGTTTCCAGCAGTTTTATTCAGTCTGCGCTGCAGTTCAATTCCTTGATTACAAACGTTCATTTGTACAGTGACTTTTCGCTCTCTCTCACTCGTCTTTATTAAAGTCTCAATAGCAGTCGTTTGACAGAATCAACTGAGGAGTTTTGACATGTATAGTGTGTTTATCCTTTTTGTTTTGGAGGATCCAGTCATTTATTTTAGACTAATGCTCTTTCACCGAAGGCTTTTCTCTGTGTGTTTTCTTGTCCTCAGCACAACCTAGGTCAGTTATTGGGTCGAGAAACAACCTTCCATCTTGACATCTTACTCCTCAAAGGCAGTACACGGATTCATAAAAGAAAAAAGTCTCTTTACTGGCTCAGTTGTTTCTTCTATAGATAACTATGAGAAGAAATGGAGCTTTTGATTAACTCTTCTGTTTCTCAGATGTTTCTCCTGAGAAAAAGATCCCAAGATACCAAAGTGTGCATTCAAAAGATCTCAATAAACTCTTCAAAATAAAGGGTGTTTTCGCCGCGTATCCGTGATGCCATAGAAGAATTTGTGAAGAACAATTAAAAAATTCTAAAGAACCTTTTTTCCACTGTAAAGAATCTTTTGTGAAATGGAAAAATTCCATAGATGTTTAAGGTTCTTCATAGATGCCAAATAAAGAACCTTTATTTTACGTATGAATTCAAACATTTCTTATCAAATTCTTTTCATAGTTTCATTTTATAGAATCACTATGACTAATTTTTTATGTTTTATGTTAGGAAAAAACATAAAGTTGGCACTTATGTAACTGAGATCTCCAATAAGTCTCCCGAGGCCTGAAGAGCATCATCTGAGCAATATATACTGTATATATATATATATATTTTTTAGGCTACATTCTCTCTGTTTAGTAGTGATGGATGCCACTACTTTGACATCTCACCTGTCAATCATTCATCATTTTATCTCTAAGGACATGCAAGGCTAATTCTATTTTTAACCAAAGTTCATTTTGTTTGGCTCTTTTTGTCACGGTTGGTTGCAGTGAAGCACACAACAAAAGGAGTAGGGAAAAAAAACAGTCTGTAATAATAAGTCCATATCAGAACCATCAGGAGATCCCAGGAGATAACGTACACACAACCGCATCAACATTGACCATACCGGACAAAGGAAGTAAGGAAACACATGGCTTAAATACATGAGAAGCGTAATCAATGTCAAAAGGAACAGCTGTTTAGTTTAGTTTATTCATTTATAAAGCATATTTAAAAACTAAATGTTAAAACCAAAGTGCATACAACAAATGTAAAACAAACTTAAAACATACGTAACCAAGAAAAAAACAAAAAGACAAATGAAAATGTTACACCCTCAAACAGAATTAAAATATAAAGAATAAAAATGGGTCTTCAAAGAGGATTTAAACATAGAAATAGAAGGGGAAGACCTTATGTGGAAGGGAAGACTATTCCAGAAGAGCGGGAAATTGACTAGAAGGCCGAAGAGAGTGAGGAGATTATATATACTGTAAAGCTTTAAAAACAAAGAGCAGAATCTTAAAATCAACACGGCGAGTATTAGAGTAATGTGCTCACGTTTTCTAGTACCAGACAATAGTCTGGCTGCCGCATTTTGCACCAATTGCAACCGTTTCAGAGCTGATTTAGGCAAACCCAGATAGAGTGAATTACAGTTAACCAATCTTGATGTTATAAAAGCAGGAAATACAGTTTCATGGTCTTTCATAGCATCTTCTTGATATTAGCAATTTTTCACAACATCACTAATCAGCTTTTTAAAAGACAACGTGGGATCGAAAATAACCCCAAGGTTTTTAACACAATCGCGTACATTGGAGGAGCTTATTAACAATGCCAGAATACACAGCTGTTGGGCCAAAAACAATTCTTTCAGTTTTATTATTATTTAACTGTAAGTCCATCCATAATTTAATGTCTTGAAGAAATGCAAACAGATTAGACACAGAAACGTTGTTGTTTTTAACAGAAAAAATAAAGCCGAGTGTCATCGGCAGAAAGATGATATGATAATTGTGTTTCTGAATAATATGAGTGAGTGGAAGCATATAAGGCAAAAAGAAGAGGACCCAGAATAGAGCCCTGCAGAACACCTTCTTCAAAGTTCTGTCCTTGAGGTAAGATGCAAACCAATTCAGCACAGATCCCTGAAACCCAGGTGTGGAAACCAATTAACAACCAGGGAAACTAACTACACTGAACAAAATTATAAACGCAACACTTTTGTTTTTGCCCCCATTTTTCATGAGCTGAACTCAAAGATCTAAGACTTTTTCTATGTACACTAAAGGACTATTTCTCTCAAATATTGTTCACAAATCTGTCTAAATCTGTGTTAGTGAGCACTTCTCCTTTGCCGAGATAATCCATCCACCTCACAGGTGTGGCATATCAAGATGCTGATTAGACAGCATGATTATTGCACAGGTGTGCCTTAGGCTGTCCACAATAAAAGGCCACTCTAAAATGTGCAGTTTTATCACACAGCACAATGCCTCAGATGTCGGAAAGTTTTGAGGGAGCGTGCAATTGGCATGCTGACTGCAGGAATGTCCACCCGAGCTGTTGCCCGTGAATTAAATGTTAATTTCTCCACCATAAGGTCAAGGTCAAAGTTTATTTATATAGCACCTTTTAACAACATGAATGTTGACCAAAGTGCTTCACAAGTAAATCAAAAATACACACACACAGTAAAACAGAACATGTCAAAAATTCAAACCAAAAAGACCTAAAAAATAAAAACAGCTCCAAAAAAGAAGCCGTCTCCAAAGGCGTTTCAGAGAATTTGGCAGTACATCCAAACGGCCTCACAACCGCAGACCACACATCAGCCCAGGACCTCCACATCCAGCATCTTCACCTCCAAGATCGTCTGAGACCAGCCACCCGGACAGCTGCTGCAACAATCGGTTTGCATAACCAAAGAATTTCTGCTCAAACTGTCAGAAACCGTCTCAGGGAAGCTCATCTGCATGCTCGTCGTCCTCATCGGGGTCTCGATCTGACTACAGTTCGTCGTTGTAACCGACTTGAGTGGAGAGGTTTTCTCTTCACGGATGAATCCCGATTTTCACTGTACAGGGCAGATGGCAGACAGCGTGTATGGCGTTGTGTGGGTGAGCGGTTTGCTGATGTCAACGTTGTGGATCGAGTGGCCCATGGTGGTGGTGGGGTTATGGTATGGGCAGGCGTATGTTATGGACAATGAACACAGGTGCATTTTATTGATGGCATTTTGAATGCACAGAGATACCGTGACGAGATCCTGAGGCCCATTGTTGTGCCATTCATCCACGACCATCACCTCATGTTGCAGCCTGGTAATGCACGGCCCCATGAGGCAAGGATCTGTTCACAATTCCTGGAAGCTGAAAACATCCAGGTTCTTGCATGGCAAGCATACTCACTGGACATGTCACCCATTGAGTATTTATGGGATGCTCTGGATCGGCGTATACGGGTCCTGCCAATATCCAGCAACTTCGCACAGCCATTGAAGAGGAGTGGACCGACATTCCACAGGCCACAATCAACAACCTGATCAACTCTATGCGAAGGAGATGTGTTGCACTGCGCGAGGCAAATGGTGGTCACACCAGATACTGACTGGTTTTCGGACCCACCCAGACTTTCCCCAATACAATAAAACTGCACATTTCAGAGTGGCCTTTTATTGTGGCCAGCCTAAGGCACACCTGTGCAATAATCATGCTGTCTAATCAGCATCTTGATATGCCACACCTGTGAGGTGGATGGATTATCTCGACAAAGGAGAAGTGCTCACTAACACAGATTTAGACAGATTTGTGAACAATATTTGAGAGAAATAGGCCTTTTGTGTACATAGAAAAAGTCTTAGATCTTTGAGTTCAGCTCATGAAAAATGGGGGCAAAAACAAAAGTATTGCGTTTATAATTTTGTTCAGTGTATATAAGGAACACAGCAGGCAAACAGGGAAACCAAAACATCATGATAATAAAACAGCATAGCTGTTACACTCTTCTTGTATCCAGTTTGCATTTTAATGAGAAATGCTGATTACCAATAAAGCATTTTGAAATTAAACTCTCTGCACATTTAAATTCATTCACTGGCGTCTGACAGCTGAATCATCTCCAGCTTTTCTCGCGTCCGTATTTTCAACGTCCAGGCTTTTTCATGTAACATGTATTGCTAAAATATTGATCTTTCATAGCTCAGGACAGTGAGGACACATAATGGTGTTCTCAGTTATGTTTCAGCTAAATATTAATGTTGTTTCTCCTGAAAAAGACACAAAAAGTAAGAGTACAAAACTATAAAGGTTCCATAAGGGTTTTTTTTATCCCTAGAAGAACCATTTTTTTGTTCCCATAAGAACCTTTCATACCCATTTTCTTAGTGTGAAGAACATTTTTAATAATATAAAGAACCCTTTGAGCAATTGAAAGGTTCCATGGATATTAAAGGTTCTTCATGGAACCATCGATGCCAATAATGACAAATATTTGAGTTCATATTGAGATCTCTGACTTTTGATTCAGACTTTGGTCGAATATAAGCACAGTTTAAGATCTCTTCTAAACCTCTAGAGAAGAGGATAGAAACGATTGAGATGCTAAAGAGATCTCTGTTTTTTCTTTCCAGCGCGCGCCGCTCACACACGCTCTCTTCATCAAGTCTATAAGCTCAGATCTGACCTGAATACATATTAGACGTGAGGAAATCTCCATGACTGATGATCAGATCCTTCACCTGAGACTAACGGAACATTCCTCCACATCCGCTTCTGCTAACAACAGAGGAGGACACGAGGTCCCCAGCGGGTACGAGACTTCATCAGGCTCCCACACGAACTTTAACCTCCAGAAATCAAGTGTTTAAGGACAAAACAAAGCGCACGCGCTAGAATCCACAACATGACACGTCCATTGATAAAAAGCAGCGCGCGAGTAAGTGAGCCACACACACACACACACACACACACACACACACACACACACTCACCTCCTGCAGTCGTGCTGGTGGCAGAGGAATTTCCACATCCCATTTTGGCATGAACACACAGCTTTCTTCCGTGTCTGCTTTGGAGGACGGATGAGTGAAGGACGGCGCTGATGTGATGCACGAGCTCCCTTGAACACAGCCTCGATCATTCTGGAGAGAGAGAGAGAGAGAGAGAGAGAGAGAGAGAGAGAGAGAGAGAGAGAGAGAGAGAGAGAGAGAGAGAGAGAGAGAGAGAGAGAGAGAGAGAGAGAGAGAGAGAGAGAGAGAGAGATGACCTCACATGATTCGTCCTCTCCTCCACCCTGATAGTGTTGCCGTGGTAACAGAAGGGGGTGTGGCCAGCCTCCAGTTGTACAAAGAGTAATAACGGTGTGCAGGAACTCCGTCCAAACAGGCATGCTCGTACCAATAAATAAACAGTTTCACAGGTCAGCAACATTTGTATTGGTTTTATTATTTATTTATACATTTTAATAACATTTTCTCATTATTTAATTGGTTTTAGTTTTGGTATTATATTTATTTATTTTAATACATTTACATGCTGAGTCAGCATGTAAATGTATTAAAATAAATAAATATAATAGTCAGCATGTAAAGCATGAGTCAGCATGTAAATGTATTAAAATAAATAAATATAATACCAAAACTAAAACCAATTAAATAATGAGAAAATGTTATTAAAATGTATAAATAAATAATAAAATCAATACAAATGTAATAAAATTAAACAATAGAATACATTTTTTAAAAATAATTTACATTTATAATTTATTTAAAAATATATGACAATTTAACATTTTAACGAAATCAAAATACAACCAAAACAATAAAAAGCAAGCTATAATGTAATAAAATGAATCAAAAGACTTAATTTATGTTTATAATAAAAAAATATTTAAAACAAATCACAAGTCAGAAACTGTAAAAAGCAAGAAATAATAATAAACATATTTATTATTATGTAATACAATTAATTAGTTCTATCTGTCTATCTGTCATCTATCTGTTTGTCTCCTTTTTTAGGAATTTTAGTTAGATATTGTTTGGACGGGGCTGATGACAAATGGTGGACACACAGATGTTGGTTTCTGGGTTTAAAGGTCTGGGATCACGAGCGCTCAGCCTTGAGGTGTTCACAAAGAGATGTTTGTTATGACATCAGTAGGAGCCTCTCGGGGGCCGCTGGAGTCTCCCATCCGCTACTGAACTTTCTGATGATCTGTGGCACATGATCAAACTCTGGACAAAATGGGAGTTTCTATTAGGAGTTCATTAGGACTATTGTGAACTGAGAATTATGTCATAATCTTAATGAAAAACATAGAGATCAAGAAAATACTAAATGCAGAACTGATACATTTAAAATGTAATAAAAAATATATAAATTCTATATTTTACTGCCTTCGTGGGCTATGTGAATGAAAGCCGTATATGTATATAGACCCTAAATAAACCCTAATTATACAAAAGGAAAAAAATAATATGGTATTTTCAAAAAGTGACAATATACCAGTGTAGTCCAGCAGAGGGTATTGTGGGATAGAAGTTAGGAAAACTTTCCAACCCCAAAAAACAACACTTTTTTTTGTTTTGAGTTCCAACTAGTTTTTAATGACAATATACTTTATTATTATTATTATTATTATTATTATTTGTGCTTTGTGTATTTTTGAAGCAGAGTCAATGCCCAGTAAAGAGGACTGCTTTCCCCAGCATGCAACCAAAGCAGTTCCGGTTCGTATTTGAGCAGCTGCATGCTGGGAAATGTAGTCCTCATCCTTGTATTCCATTCTCACTGTCTCCGACGCGAAAGATGCCTGCCGTACACCACAAATTATTACTCGAGGAGGCCCTGCAGGACAGTCCGCAGGTAAACATTTGTTTACTGGATCTTTGTTCAATGTTTTAGCACTCATAACTGTTCGGTTTTGTGCGTTTTGCGTTGCAAAACTGATGATGCGCTGTCGAGACCCGCGCGTATGTCGCTGGTCGCAGAGCATATGTGCGAGCTAATCTTAATTAAACATCAATTTAAGTGCACGATTAAGTAGAGAATCACCTCAGCTCGTTAAGTTTATATAACTACTTGTATAGTTTATTATTCAAAGGGTTTTATTCCTAGATAAGAGCCACATATGAGACACGAGACACATCCTGCACGTATGTTGATCATATGTTTATAAATGAGAGCCGCGTGTCAAACATACGTGCATCTGACGCTACAAACGCGCGTCTTATTTTCTGCTTTGGTGCTTTAAAGCTGTAAATGTTTTGCTGGCAGTGGTGTTGTGAATGGAGGGGCCTGTATGGGAGGAGTGAGATGTTGTTTAGTTGGTCAAACCCACAAAAGCCTGATCCTGATACATCACATATGCGGATCAGATCTATTATATATATTGGTATATCAGTGCTGAGACATCACTGGCAGATCAGAAACAACAGCAACAACAACAACAAATAATCAGAGACATCAGATCAGCATGTGAGACATAAGGTGAAACACACAAAAAACTTTGTGCAACCGGTTTTGATTATTATTAGCTATTCCAAAATCATAATTAGGCCTAATTCGCATGCTATGTTATTGCAGTTCAAACCGTGAAGCCGCTCCCACATACTTGTGATATTCTCAGTGAACTAATAATTTACTTTATACGCACAAGTTATGTGTCTGAGTCATATCTCATAATGCTCTGTGTTTGAGATTATGAACCCACAGATGTCTCCGCCCGGCCAGTCACTTTTGTTTGCATTGGAAACACACCCAGAAGTCTGACCTGATCCCTGACAGAACACACCTGTGGATACACCCAGCATGCTTCACGCTGTACGAATGCTTAGTGCATTTAACACTGTGTGAATATCGAGTGTTTACTGGGGTTTGTGTTTTCTGTGGCAGACGCGGTCCTTGCTCAGTGTGTTTGAAGAGGATGCTGGCACGCTCACTAACTACACAAACCAGCTGCTCCAGTCTATGCAGAGAGTGTTTGGAGCACAGGTACACTACACACACGTGTTCACATTGACTTCAACAGTGGAGGCAACATAAAAGCGAAATTTACTATATCTAAATAAATGTTCAGTTTATCGATCACGATTTATCAGTGCATGGTATTTTAAAGAAAAAAGTTTGCAAACTGATTTTCTTTTCTGCTGATGTCATCAAGGCCTCAGGGGTGGGGAGAAAATAATAACCAATAGTATCACAGCATCTACAATCCAATCAAATCCTAACTCAAAGGCCAACCCTGTGTTATTTTCAACTGATTATGCTGTCATAATTGGAAATATGGCGCATTATAAATGTCAAAGAGTTAGTTCACCCAAAAATGAAAATGATTTCTTTCTTCTTTCAGCCAAACACAAGCAGAGTTATGTTAAAAAATATCCTGGCTCTTCCAAGCTTTATAATGGCAGTGAATAGAGCCTGAATAGAGTTTTTGAAGCCCAATAAAGCACATCCATCCATCATAAAAGTAATCCATACGACTCCAGGGGGTTAATAAATCCTTCTGAAGTGAAGCCATGCATTTTTGTATGAAAAATATCCATATTTATAACTTTATAAACTATAATAACTGACTTCCGGAAACGGCCATACGCGAGTCTAGTTCCAGCGGAAGAGTGACCTCTGAAATGATCATTTTCATTTTTGGGTGAACTAACCCTTTAAATGGATTGCAAATGTGTCATTAAATGTAAATATATTTTATGAAGGTCCGAACAGGAAATAATTATGTGAAATCTTCATACATATTTATAAACCCTGAATATAAAGTTGCACTTCTAAGTATGTAAATGTGAATTTATAAATATTTATTTTAAAATCTGAATATGTAGTTATTACTCTGAATATATTAATGCAAATCAGAATATAAAGATGTAAATCTGAAGATAACTCAAAATAAATGTAAACCATGAATACATAGATAAATCTGAATATATATATATAGTTATAGGTTTGAATATATAGTTATTATTCCTGAATATGTAAATGCAAATCCTGAATGTACAGTTAAAAGTCTGAATTTATGTTTATAATTCCTGAATCAATATATAAACCATGATTCACACATATGATCTATATAATCAATATTTTTGGATTATTCATGATTACCTTCTGTTGGCAAATAAAAAATATATAAAAATGATATGAACATAGTTTAAAATAAATATTTATGTATATTGTAAATATTACTTTATATTTAATAATTTTATATAATAAAAATCAATAAAATAAGCCCCTTTGAAAGCTTGTTTCCTCAGAAAGATCCCCATGCAAACAAACTGGTGCTGACTCTGACTCTTCATCTGACTAATTGAGTTTCCTGTACGCAGAATGAAATGGCTCTGGCGACCGAACAGCTTTCTAAACAGCTCTTGGAGTATGAGAAGCAGGTGAGCGCTTTATTTCCCTTTTAAACGACAGCAGTGCATTAGCAGCCATGATGAGTACTGGGAATGTCTGAATATCGGATGTGTTATCAATAAATCTGACATGATGGTTTGTGAGTGCAGAATTTTGCTCTGGCGAAAGGCGACGAAGAGGTGATCAACACTTTACAGCACTTCGCCAAAAGCGTGGAAGAGGTGAGGAGACTCCTGCGGTGTGTGTGTGTGTGTGTGCTCTGTCAGAACGAGTCCATCAGTCGTGTGGCAGCTGGCGTGGGCTGTTTCTCTCATGCTGGTTGTTTGATGTTTGCCAAAATGGCGAGATCACCTGATCATATGACCTTCATCATTTGCCTCACATACTGCAGAATTTAAGTTCATATTATTCAGAATATAAAGTAAAGCGGGAACAATTCAGCGTGACATTACTGTCAAAACACCACAGTAATATTTGAATAACAAGTGTATTTTAATTTCTCTCTAGCTGAACTCTCTGCACAATGAATTGGCCACACAGATCGCTGATAAGATGGTGTTTCCCATGGTGCGGTTCAGAGAGAAGGACCTTACAGGTGCAACACTTACTTTAAAGATCATGTTCTTCACTGTTGTAGCGTTTTTTTTTAATTTACAATATAAGGTCATTTTTGGAACAAACATTAGGGAATGTCCTACTTACTGTACATTTAAAAAGCACCTTAAACAGATCCTTAAAAGTTCCCAGTAATGTCTTCATTTTGACTAATTTTATTTATACAATGTGTTCTGCCTGAATGTGTGCTAATGTGTTTCTTGCTTGATATTGTATATTGTCATATTCTATTGTGTTGCATTATTTTATATGTTGTTGTCTTCCTGCCTCGGGACTACAGGTGAAAATGAGCATTTATGTTATAACCTGGCTCATTTACAGTCTGTACAGAAATGTTAAGATTGTTCATTAATGTGTATTGTAATTAATTAATTAATTAATTAATTAAGGCAAGGCAAGGCAAGGCAAGTTTATTTATATAGCACATTTCATACACAATGGCAATTCAAAGTGCTTTACATAGAAGAAATTAAAATAATCAAAACAAATAAGAATATTTAAAACAGTTTAGAATAAAAAATCAAATAAAGTAGTACTGGTCCACCCCTATCTGAGATGGAAGAGATTGAGCCGGTTTACGGTGCCACTGGACCTCTAGCCCAGGGACGTACTCTGCTGGGGCGGTGCTACACCAGTAATGCCCAGCGGGGGCCCCACACGCTGCCGTTACCCTTAACGACGCTCTCAGCGACTTCTTATACAGCAGTATAACTTACTCCTTCACTCGCTTCATCGGAGTGAAGACTCTCCCGCTCTCCTTCAAAATCTCTTCCAGAGATTATAAAAATAAATAAATTAGAAATTAGAAAACAAACAAAGACAAAACCAGTACAGTAAAAACAGTCGGACGAACATTGGCACAGTGCTCATTCAGTAAATGCATAGCTAAACAGATGTGTTTTGAGTCTGGATTTGAAAGTGACTACTGTAGGAGCACATCTGATCTCCTCTGGAAGCTGGTTCCAGCTGCGGCTGGCATAATAGCTAAAAGCAGACTCTCCTTGCTTAGAGTGAACCCTTGGTATTTCTAGCTGATGTGATCCTAATGATCTGAGTGATCTGTTAGGTTTATATTCAGTGAGCATATCTGCAATATATTGAGGTCCTAGCCCATTGAATGATTTATATACCAGTAATAATACTTTAAAATCGATCCTAAATGTAACTGGGAGCCAGTGTAAAGACCTGAGGACTGGTGTGATGTGTTCATATTTTCTGGTTCTGCTCAGGATCCTGGCAGCAGCGTTCTGTATGAGCTGCAACTGTCTTATGGTCTTTTTAGGAAGGCCAGTGAGGAGTCCCTTACAATAATCCACCCTGCTGGTGATGAAAGCATGCACAAGTTTCTCTAAGTCTTGATTGGAAACAAAGCATCTAATTCTTGCAATATTTTTCAGATGATAGTATGCTGATTTAGTTATTGCTTTGACATGACTACTGAAACTAAGGTCTGACTCTAGAGACACACCAAGATTCCTGACTTGATTTTTAGTTGTTAGACCCCTAGAGTGAAGCTATGCATTCACCTTGAGAACTTCATCTTTGTTTCCAAACGCAATGACTTCAGTTTTGTCTTTGTTTAACTGAAGAAAGTTTTGGCACATCCAACTGTTGACTTCATCAATGCATTGGCACAGGGAGTCAATGGGGCTGTAGTCGTTAGGCGATAGGGCTAAGTAGAGCTGTGTGTCGTCTGCATAGCTGTGGTAAGCAATTTGGTTCTTTCTCATTATTTGTCTCATTGGGAGCATATACAGGTTGAACAGGAGTGGTGCAAGAATTGAGCCTTGAGGGACTCCGCAAGTCATGGATGTCCACTCAGACTTATGGTCTCCTATACTCACATAATAACCTCTCCCTTCTAAGTATGACCTGAACCATTTTAGGACTATCCCAGAAAGCCCCACCCAGTTTTCCAGCCTGTCAAGAAGTATGTCGTGATCAACCGTGTCAAATGCAGCACTGAGGTCGAGTAGTACCAGCACTGATAATTTGCCTGAATCAGTATTTAAGCGAATATCATTTATTATCTTTATGAGAGCTGTCTCTGTGCTGTGATGCGATCGGAAACCAGATTGAAAATTGTCGAAGTATCCATTCGAGATTAAGAATTTGTTCAGCTGATTGAAGACAACTTTTTCAATGATCTTGCCTATGAAAGGAAGATTTGAGATCGGTCTATAATTGCTCAAGATGGTCTTATCCAGATTGCTCTTTTTCAGGAGGGGCTTGACAACTGCAGTTTTCAGGGAGTTTGGAGGCATTTACCACTTCTAGGAGATCTGCTTCTAAGCTGTTTAACACACTTAATTAATTATTTTAACACAATTAATTAATACATGCATTTTTATATTGTTTTATTTTAAGTCAAATAAATTTGTTTTTAATTTAAAATATTTTAATTTATTTTAATATTAATTCAGTTATTTCCAAACGTGAACAAATTTGATTTAAAAAAAAATATTTTTAATAATGAAATAATTATATTATGTATATTACACTTATTAAAATAACAATCTCAAAAACAGCATTTTTTTTGTTTTTAAATTAACATTAATACTAATTTTGATATTGATACAGTTATTTCATGAACATTGGTGTCTATTTTATCACATTCAAATTTTAAGCAGACAAATAAAAAATATTTCTTTACTTTTTCGTTTATTATTATAAACAAGCTTATTTATAAAATAGTTAATCTTCTTTAAATCGCTCATCAATGTTTCTTTAATAATTTCATTAGTATTTTCACCATCTCTCTGATGTTTACAATACCTTTAAGACTCTTATGTATTTATTTAAATGCTTTTTATATGTATTTTTATATGTTTTTCAAAAGTGAAAATCCTGTTTTCGATGATATGATCCAAGTCTTCAAAATTTTAAAGAGCTGTGATGAATTTGTTTTCAGAGATCAGCACACTGAAGGAGATATTCGGCATTGCCAGTGACGGTATGAAGTTAATAATATCTCTTTATTTATTATTAGTGGATTCTAGAAAAAAATATGTATATGCTGCATGAAAATCACATCACTTTCGGTCTCTCTTTGTCTCTCTCCAGAGCATGAAGCTGCCATGGTGAAATATAGTCGTTTACCTAAAAAGAGAGAAAATGAAAAGGTAAATATTGATGTAAATGCGGATGTGTTATGTGAAACCCGCCACTCAGAGTCCAGCATTGAGCTAGATGTGTGTGTGACAGGTTAAAGCGGAGGTGGTGAGAGAGGTGGCGTACTCCCGCAGAAAGCAGCATCAGGCGGCGATGCAGTATTATTGCGCTCTGAATGCGCTGCAGTACAGAAAGAAAGTGGCCATGCTGGAGCCCATGCTGGGATTCACACACGCTCAGGTCTGACACTCGCCATCACACACTGCTTCACTCTCTCCTGCATGAGACACAGACTCCAACTGATGATAATCAATGTAGCTGAATAATCTTCAATCCTGTTTGGTTTTCCACAGGTACATTTCTTTAAGAAGGGGATGGAGCTGGTGTCCAAGAAGATGGACAGTTTTCTAAGCTCAGTTTCCAGCATGAATCGGAGGTAAAGGACCAGTCTTTATTTCAGAGGACACACACACACACACACACGTCTGTGATTCCCTCACGCTCTCTGTCTGTGCTTCAGTATTGAGTCTCAGCTAGAGGTCGAGGCAGAGGTCATGCGCTCGTCTCAGAGAGAGCTCCTGTCCGTGGATGACACCGTCTACATGCCGGATCACGATCGTGTCCCCGTGAATCGCGCCCTCATCCAGAAAGCAGGTTACCTCAACATCAGGAAGTACGGGTCACATGATCTCGGTCAGACTTGATGAAGTGAGCAGGTGAGGTGTCAGGTTTAACACACTGAGCTCTGTGTCCCGCAGTAAGACG